TGGGAGAGATACACTGCAGCTAAGTGCAAGGAGTGATAAGCTGGGGGGGGGGGTGTGCGCGCGCGCACATCCTGGGACAGCACCATGTAGTGAATGTTGATGATTAGATGAACAGTGATGAATTGCTGAGTAGATTCTATCATGACTGGCTATTGTTTTATTGTCTCCAGCTCCCTTTTGATTTCACATGGAAAATGCTGAAAGACAAATTTAACGAGTGTGGTAAGTTACTTTGCATCACTAGAGACCTTCCAAAATTAATGTACTCATTGCATATTTTCCTGAATCATAACCTGCACCTCTGCCTTTTCCTGCCAGATGTAATAATACCAAAATATCATTCAAATTTAGGAAATGACTAGAGGCTAGCAAAAGTTTTAGTTTTTTGAATAAGTAGCATTGCATATCTTGTATACTGCAATATAATATTCAATTCTGATTTCTCCTTTGCTGCAAGTAGCAGTCTTCAACAAAAATACTATAATGCCATATCGGGAGCCATGGGTACATCAGGCTTTTTGAACCTAAATAAGCCTGTTCTTACCAAGTCTCCTTTTAATGGACAAGTTAAGGGGACATACTGGCAGTAAACCACGCAAGAAATACCAAAAAAAAAAAAATAAAAATTTCTTAACCTTGTAGAACACGATCCCAAAATTCACATTTCTGATTGGATAGATTAATAATACACTCTAACGATTTTCTTGTTTAAACTGTAGAAATTGTGCCAAATGCGTTCTGTACAAGATGAAAGGAGTCTGATCAGATTAAGCTGAAATATTTAAATGATTTCCAGAAATGTAATACCAAAGCAAAAGGAGGTAGTTGAGAATTTGATCTCTTTAATACCAACATGAGGATGGGGAGAAAAAAAAAATAGACTGAAATAAGTCTGGGTAGAGATCATAACCGCACTTCTCATTTTTGAGACTAGGTTACAGGAGGAGTTTCTGAATGTCCTTTTTCTAACATCATGTTAGAGTATAGAAAAGACTGAGAACTGCTCATGTAAACATTTATGCCACCCATAGAAACAATTGTTTTAAAACTATTTGGGTCGTGAACTTTCTATTTTTTTAAGCTATGTTTAAAGGATTTATTGATGCAGATTAGTTTGTTTGGACCTATTGCATTACATATGAAGTGGGTGATGCATTCTGTTAAAGGGTTAAACTTATTTGTGGCCCTCTTTCACTTTCCAAAGGGAAACAATATAATGTGCTAGAGGCAGCATCACTTTGCTTTTCCAGTTGATCTCAAATTTTAATTGATTTAAAATGGCTGCAAGGAATATTCAGGGTTTTATGGGCATGCTGTTGCCTGTGTCCAACGAGGAGTTGCATTTGTGATATTTGATCTTGACTTTTGTAAAATAAGCCTCAGATGCTTGATTTTCTGTTTATTCCAACAGCGAATAAGTTATCCCAATTCAGTATTCATGATCTTGGTTATCAGTAGAAAATAACTAAGGGCATCAACTATTACCCCTTCCTGTTAATTCTTTAAAAATGGCAGTAAGTAACTCATCCTTTAAAATAACAGGTACATCTGTACCTTTGCAAAACTGAGAAATACTTCTCTTGAACAGTTTCTCATCAGTAACTTTAAATAGGGCAAATTTTAAATAAAAAACAATCACTTAACTGATCAGTGACTTGATTGCAGCTGACTATTCCTGCTGCGTTTAGGTTCCAAAAACATGAGGATCTGTTTTGTTTGTTTTTTTAAATACACATGTTCTTATAGCTGTATCTGAAAACTGAAAATGATCTTTCATGGTTATGAGACCACTTGATGGTGGAACTGTGTCGGATATTGCATTATGCAATTTTTTTCCATTAAACAGGTCATGTGCTGTATGCTGACATCAAGATGGAAAATGGGAAGTCCAAAGGGTGTGGTGTGGTTAGATTTGAGTCCCCAGAAGTAGCTGAAAGAGCCTGCAGGATGATGAATGGGATACAGCTTCGTGGCAGGGAGATTGATGTGCGAATTGATAGAAATGCTTAAATAGTTGCCTTTTAAAATATGGATACCAGATCCTCTGACCCTGTATTTTTCTTGTTAACCATTTTAATTTGACTGGATGTAAAAATGTTAAACAATTCAGTTGCTTTCTGGAGTAATTTTAATTACTTTTTTAACAAATGGATCTCCATTTTACTGTTTTTTGCATTGAAACTGCAATGTGCACAATCCTTTTTTTGTAGTTGTGGCATCTTGTTGACATTACAGATGTATACAGTATGACTTTGATAATAAATGCAAGTTACTGAAAATTCTTGATCGTGAATGCATCCATAATTAACAAATAATGTTATTTACAAATCTCTGTAAACAGCCAGTAGTTTGTGCTTTCACAGATGTCTGGAAATAGGTAGGTACATCAACCTATCTTAACGTTTTCAAAGCAGTAGAACTATGACATGTCACATTTTAAGATGTTACTGTCTTGTGTGCAGTAGCATCAACATTTGAGTATTTTGTGGATCACTGAAAATTCTCTCCAAACTTTAGTGGATTCCTACTTTGGTCCATGCTTCTGATGTGAGACTCATTGGAGATTTTCATACTTTCAAGAGACACGTTGGGCTAAACTTTAGAGTACAGAACAGCGTTTCTAGGCATTCCCTAGTTTGATTTAAAGGGTCCTTGAACAAATCTTTTGCTGCATGAGGCAAACCTCCAAACCATACCCAGAGCAGAAGGCTTTCGTGTCTGAAGTATTAACAATAAAATGGGACTGCAGTTGAGCGGAAACTAGGAAGAGGCTGCCTTCCATTAAAAGGTGACACCCCTTAGAGATGCTACATTGTTGCACAACTAAGATGAGTTTTGTGTGTTAAATCATAATGTGCCAGACATCAAAGCAATTGAGTCCTTGATAAAAATGGCAAATCAACCTCAAAGAAGCTACTCCTTCACAGTGGAACTGTTTTGTTTTGTTTTTTTATTTTTTTTAAAGACATCTGGCATGACTCTACCCCAACCCCCACCATCCCACAGTGCTCTACACTCCCTGCTCTCACCAAGAGGGAGGGAAGGAGAGGAGGGAGGGAAGGCAGCTGGCTCCCTGGCAGTCTGCTCCAGGGTGAGCTGTCAAGGAGGCTTGTTAAAGCCCTGTCTTCCTTCCCTCCCCCATTGCTGCCAGGTGGCAATGGGGAAAGGACAGCTGTGGCAGTGGCAGGAGCTTATCAGAGGGCAGATGCCTCTCCCTGGTAAACCTGTACCATTTGCTGGGCTTCCTGTGTGCAACTTTAAAGAGGCTGGGTGGCCTTTGAGTCCTGAGGACAGGGGGAGCCAAAGAACAGCCCCGTGGCTAGTAAAAGTGCTTTTGCACTCCAGCTAGGGGCTTTTAATGTGCACATAGATGGTTGTAAGGTTTTGTTTTTGTTTTTGTAGTGCTACAAGTTATGCAGCTCTAAGAAATTCCTGACTATTTGCCTGGATATCAAAGCAGCTATACAGAGAATCCTCTAGAAGTTTTCATCCTTTGAATACATGGGTGTAAAACCTTAAGCTAAAACAATTGCGAAAGTACCCTAATGAGACCCCGAAACCAGTATCTGGGGCAATTTCATCCACCGTCCCCTTTCCACATGCCATAAGCCCTTTCTGGTTGTTGAGTTAACCACCTAATTTAGGTGCCAGTTGCAAGATCAGTCACCCTACAGAAGGGGTAGAATGGATAACTGTTGATATTCCTGCAGTAAGAAGAGCCTGAGCTTTGTCAGAAGCCTCCATGCAGTGGCAGGGTAGAGAAAATATGCAGAGTGGAAGTCTTCTCTATAAAGTAGGTCAGTTATTTTTATTTCATAATAAAGCTAGAGAGAGGAAATTGTGTTAGTCTGAAATCAGGCAGTAAAACTAGTGAAAACACTTTGTTCTGTATTCATTTAACTTTAGTCACTTTTTTTTGGCTGTCTCTTCCAGTGTACACTGCTTGTCACCTTCTTTCAGGATGTGTAGGCTGACTTTTTTGTTCCTTAGAGATCAATGCTTTTGCCCATTGTGTTGCCAGTTAGTACTGTCAGAGTTGCAACTACCATATTTACTAGAATCCCCGATCGGGGCAGGGGTGGGAAGTGGGTCGGGCCAGGCTCTGTCTGAACATTCCCTATTTACTAGAGGACTATTATCTTCCTATTGAGGGACTGCCACCAACAACTTGGAAATAGGGAGAAAGTGAAGGGAAAAAAAGGACCAGGACAGTTTGCTTTTAGGAAAACAAGCTCTTCAGAAACTAAATGCTGTTGAGGGAGATACTTCGTATACAAAGGAAATGACTAAGGGGTCAGCAACCTATGGCCTGTGGGCTGGATCTGCCCTACGAAGGTCTAATCTGGTCTGTTTTACTAAGGGCATGCTGGTCCCTAGACACTTGATCCAGTCCACATTTTACTAATAGTGCTATGATGGCTCTGGGAGCAGTGGAAAGCTAGTTGCTCTAGCAATCCTGGAGGGCTGTTTTCCCTCACTGCAGTCTGCTCACCATTGCTGGAGGGGAATGTAGCCCTTCTGTGCTAGCCAGGTTAGAGGTGTGGCCCATGTTAATAAAAGGTTGCTGATCTCTGGTCCACCGAAATTCCTGGTTGGGGGGGGGGG